ATAAAGGGTTGTGCCTGCCCCAACAACTGTCAGTCACAGGCAGCGCAGCGTTGGGTCAAGCCGCAGCAGTCAGGATGGCCGATCTCAGGATCCTCCTCCTGGTCAGCCTGCTCTCTCTGCCCCCGGGTCAAGGTAGGTCCGTGTGCCATTCATGTCGAACAGATTGCAAAAGGAACAGCGAGGGGAAGAACAAGAAGACACACGAATGTGCCTGTGTGTTTTCTTGCTCTTCCCTTCGGTGTTCCCTTTGCAAGGTAGGTCCCCTTTCGCGCCATGGCAGACCCCTCAAAGGGCCACACTGAGATAAGCTAAGCGGCATATGTAGGGTGTATTAGTCCGCCTAACTCGAGCGTTTTGTCTCCTCAGGCGAGGGACCCTGTTTGGACGAGCTCTACGTTGAAGGTAAGCGGCACTCGTGTTGTTTGAGGCGACAGTCCACCGGCAGGACGTTTTCGGTGGCAGGCGTCGTGCGAGGGAAGGGGAAGCACAGGGGATTAAGCCGGTTTATGAGGAGATTGGAAGGAGAGGGATTTTGGAAAAGGAGAGAAAGAGATAGGGAGAGGGAAATGAAGGGGCAGGGAGAGAGAAAAAAGAGAGTGGGTGAAAGGGAAGGAAGAAGGAAGAAGAGAGAGGGTAGGAGGAAGAGGAGGACAGAGTGGGGAAGAAACGGAGAGGAAAAAAGAAGAGAGAGGGAGAGGAAGCATAAAGAGAGAGAAGGCCGCTGTAGCTCCTTTGGCTCCAGAGTTTCGTCTCGCGAAGTTGGCCGTCTTGAACCCCTTTTCTACCGTCTTAAACCCCATGCTCTCTTGAACCTCCTTTATGCTCTCCTACCCTCATAAACCCCTGGTCTCCTACCTTCTTTAACTTCCTTCAGTTCTCCTACCCTCTTGAACTCTTTCCGCTCTCCTATCCCTCTTGAACCTCTTTCCGCTCTCCCTCTTGAACCTTTTCCGCTCTACTGTCCTCTTGAACCTCTCCACTCTCCTGCTCTTGAACCTCTTTCCGCTTCCTGTCCTCTTGAATTCCTCTCCTCTTGAACCTCTATCCTCTTGAACAACTCTCCTTCCTCTTGAACCTCTTTCTCCTGTCCTCTTGCCTTTCCTACCTCTTGAACCTCTTCCCCTCTCCTGCTCTCTTTCCGCTCTCCTGTCCTCTTGAACCTTTCCGCTCTCCTGTCCCTTGAACCTCTTTCCCGCTTCCCTGTCCTCTTGAACCTCTTTCCGCTCTCCTGTCCTCTTGAAATCTCTTTCCCGCTCTCTCTCTGTGCTCTTGAACCTCTTTCCGTCTCCTGTCCTCTTGAACCTCTTTCCGCTCTCCTGTCCTCTTGAACATCTTTCCGCTCTCCTATCCTCTTGAACCTCTTCCCGCTCTCCTATCATCTTGAACCTCTTTCTGCTCTCCTATTCTTGAACCCTTTCCGCTCTCCTTCCTCTTGAACCTCTTTCCGCTCTCCTGTCCTCTTGAACCTCTTTCCGCTCTCCATCTCTTGAACCTCTTTCCGCTCTCCTATATCTTGAACGCTCTTTCCGCTCTCATATCTTGCTTTCCGCTTCGCTGTCCTCTTGAACCTCTTTCCGCTCTCCTCTATTGAATCTTTGGAACCTCTTTCCGCTCTCCTATCTTGAACCTCTGCTCTCCCTCTTGAACCTCTTCCGCTCTCGTCCTCTTGAACTCTTTCCGCTCTCCTATCCTCTTGAACTCTTTCCGCCTCCTCCTCTTTCCTCTTCCGCTTCTCTCTTGAACCTCTTTCCGCTCTCCTATCCTCTTGAACCTCTTTCCGCTCTCCTGTCCTCTTGAACCTCTTTTCCGCTCTCTTATCTTGAACCTCTTCCGCTCTTGCTTTCCGCTCTCCTATCCTCTTGAACCTCTTCCGCTCTCCTGTCCTCTGAACCTCTTTCGCTCCTGTCTCATTTCCGCTCTCCTGTCCTCTTGAACCCTTCCCCTCTCCTGTCCTCTTGAACCTCTTTCTGCTCCTCTCTTGAACCTCTTTCCGCTCTGTCCTCTTGAACCTCTTTCCGCTCTCCTATCCTCTTGAACCTCTTCGCTTCCTGCTCTTGCTTGAACCTCTTTCCGCTCTCCTGTCCTCTTGAACCTCTTTCCTCTCCTGTCCTCTTGAACCTCTTTCCGCTCTCCTATCCTCTTGAACCTCTTTTCGCTCTCCTATCCTCTTGAACATCTTTCGCCTCCTGTCCCTTGAACTCTTTCCGCTCTCTATCATCTTGAACCTCTTCCGCTCCTTCCTCTTGAATCCTTTCCTGTCCTCTGAACTTCTGCTCTCCTGTCTCTTGAACCTCTTCCGCTCTTCCTCTGAACCTTTTCCGCTCTCCTATCCTCTTGAACCTTTTCCGCTCCCTATCCCTCTTGTCCTGTCATATTGAATCCTTGAACCTCTTTCCGCTCTCCTATCCTCTTGAACCTCTTCCGCTTCCGCTGTCTCCTCTTGCTTTTCTCCTATCTTGAACTCTTTCCGCTCTCCTATCCATCCTTGAACCTCTTTCCGCTCTCCTGTCCTCTTGAACCTCTCTCCGCTCTCCTGTCCTCTTGAATCTCTTTCTGCTCTCCTTCCCTCTTGAAACCTCTCTTCCGCTCTCCTGTGTTGAACCTCTTTCCGCTCTCTTCATATGATCCTGAACCTCTTTCCGCTCTCCTATCTCTTGAACCTCTCCGCTTCTCAGTCTCCTCTTGAACCTCTGCTATACCGTCCGCCTCTCCTGTCCTCATTTGCTTCTCGCTCATCCTCATCCTCTTGAACTCTTTCCGCTCTCCTAAAACTTCCTCTTGGAACCTCTATTCCGCTCTCATATTTATCGTTTGTGATATTCCTTTTCCTGCTCTTATTCTGTCCCCTTTGAACCTTCTTTCGCTTCTCTCACTGTCCTCGTTGATATTCCTATCTTTTTTCTTTGTCTTTCTCGGAGTATTAATCCTTGAATCTTCACGCTCTACTGTCCTCTGAGCCTCCTTTCCGCTCTCCTTCCTCTGAAACCCTTTCGCCTCTCCTATGCCTCTTGAACCTCTTTCGCTCTCATAATTATCTGAACCACCTTTCCGCTCATAGCTGTCCTCTTGAACCTCTTTCAGCTCTCCTATCCTCATTGAACCTCTTTCCGCTCTCCTATCCTGTTGACCTCTTGTCCGCCTCTCCAGTATTATCGTTGAACTCTTTCGCGCTCTCACTATCCTCTTGCGAACCTCTTTGCCGCTCTCCCTGTCCTCTTGAAAACCTCTTTCCGCTCCATATATGCTTGAACCTCTTTCCGGCTGCTACTGTTTCCGTTAGAACCTCTTCCGCTCTCTTCCTGTTGAACCTTTTCCGCTCTCGCTATTATCGTTGACCCTTTCGCTCCGCTATCATCTGAATCTCTTCCGGGCATCTCCTGTCGCTTGAACCTCTTCCGCTCAGATGCCGTGTACCATTCGAACCTCATTTCCGCTCTCGCTGTCCTCTTTGAACCTCTTTCGCTCCCTATCATCTTGAATCTCTTCCGCTCCCTGTCTCTTGAACCTCATTTCCGCTCTCATATTATTTGAACTCTTTCCGCTCTCATATATCGTGAACCTCTTTCCCGAAACTCCTATCATCTGTGAATGCTTCTGTTACGAGCCCTCCCTGTCCCTTGAAACCTCTTCCCGCTCTCATATTAATTATCTTGACCTCTTCCGCTCTCATATTACTCTTGAATCTCTTTCGCCGCCTCCTGTTGAACCTCTCTCCGCTCTCTATCCTCTTGAACTGGTCGTTCCGCTCTGCATAGTTATCTATGAACCTCTTTCCGTCTCGCCTATCGTCTGAACTCTTTCCGCTCTCCAGTGCCTTGAACCTCTTCCGGCTCTCATATATCGTTGGTAACCTCTTCCGCTCTCCTATCATCTTTGAATCATCTTTCCGCTCGTCCGTCCCTCGTGAATGCCTCTCTCCGCTCTCCTGTCCTCTGAATCCTCTTTCTGCTCTGCCTGTCCTCTTTGAACCTCTTTCCGCTCCCCTGTGCCCTTGAACCTCTTTCCGCCTCTCGTCTGTCCTCTGACCGTTTCGACTCTCCTGCTCTCTTGAAATCTCTTTTCCCGTCTCTCATGTCCTCTTGAACCTCTTTCCGCTCCTTCCTATTCCTCCTTGAACCTCTTGTCGCCTCCCCTGTCCTCGGTTGAACTCTTTTCGCTTCATATTATCTTGAACCTGTTACCGCTCTCGCTATCCATCTTGAATCTCTTTCCGCTCGATCCTGGTCCTCGGTTGAACCTCTTACGCTTCTATATTATCTTTGACCTCTTTTCGCGCGCTCCTATCAATCTAAGCCTCTTCCCTCTCCTGTCTCGTTGAAAACCGTCTTCCGCTCATCATATTATTTAACCTCTTTTCCGCTCTCCGACTATCATCTTGAATCTCTTTCCCGCCTCCTGTCTCGTTGAACTCTTTCGCCTCCTCTCGTCCTCTTAACATCTCTTTCCTGCTCTCCTGTCCTCTTGAACCTCTTTCCGCTCTCTATCTTTGATACCTAGCTTTCCGCTCGTCCCTGTCCTCTTGAACACTCTTTCCGCTGCTCATATCATTCTGAACCTCTATTCTGCTAGGCTCTCATGTCCTCCTGAACACTTCCGCTCTCTCTATCCACTTGAACTGCTTTCAGGCTCCCAGGTCCTCTATTGAACTCTCTCCCTCTCACCTGTCCTCTGTTGAAATCTCTTTCTGCTCTCCTATCCTCTGAATGCCTCTTTCCGCTACATGCCTATCCTGTTGAAGCCTCTTGTCCGCGCTCCTAATCACGTTGAGACGATGCTGATTCGCGCTCCCCTGACCTCTTGAACCCTCTTTCCGCTTCTCCTGTGCTCTAGAGACCTCTTTCCGGTCTCCTGTCCTCTTTGAACATCTTCCGCTTTCTGCCCTAATCATCTTGTAATCTCTTCCGCTCTCTTGTCCCAATTTGAACCTCTCTCCGCTCTCCTGTCCCCTTGAATCTTTCTTGCTCTCCTTCCTCTTAAACGCTCTTTCCAGCTCTCCTATT